AGATACTTATTCCAAGGTAATTTATGCCTCCCTACATTCAGGGGAAAAGATTAAGGACGTTATTGCCCATTGCCTACAGGCTTTTGCCTATATGGACATCCCAGACTTTCTTGGACCAGCTTATACCAGCCAACGGTTTGCAAAATTTTGCCAAGAACAACAAATTACACATACCTTTGGAATTCCACATAATCCTATAGGACAGGCCATAGTGGAGCGCACAAATGCTACCCTTAAACAGTTCTTTTGTAAAATAAAGAAGGGGGAGTATATCACCTCCCCAAATACCCAGTTATCTACAATTTTATACATTTTAAATTTTTTAACAGTAGATAAACAAGGTCTATCAGCAATGGAAAGACATTGGTAGAAACCCTCTCAATCTCTGGGCTGGGTTATATGGAAGGATAGTATCACTGGACAATGGCAATCACCCACACCTATGCTGGCTAGGGTGGGGGGAGCCATTTGTGTCTTCCCTCCAGGAACCAAAAAACCCATCTGGGTGCCAGAGCAGAATGTTTGGCCAGTGGAGTCAGGGTTTCACGATGTTGCCCTAGCTATACTGGAGCTCATTATGATCTCAGACTGAGATTCTCCTATCTCTGCCTGCTCAGTGCTGGAATTAAAGGCATGTGACACAAGGCCCAACCTTCTCTTATTTCTTGAATGTAAGGGATACAATTATTTCTGGGCCTCATTTCCTGTGAGCACAACTAAGTGCCAATAATACTAGTGTGTGCCTCTCTCCTGGGTAGCAGGTATAAAACCCTTGGGGCAGGCTAACTATGTCCTATTGTTTTTTAGCTAGTCTGATACAGCCCTTTTCATTTTTCACACGCTGGGCTTTTCCTATGACTTCAACAGGCAGCCCAATTATATATGTTCCTTTTGTGTTGTTGTTAGTCAGGCTTTGGTCAAGTCGTTCCTACTCCAGTATAAGTAAACAGGTTTGCCTATATGCATATCTTACAATTTGGGCCTAGGTTGAAGAGATCAAGGCCGACATTTAGTAAAGCCAGCATTTTGAGACATGGCTTTCCCTCACAAAAGACTTCTCTATGGTCAGTTCCCACGTTATTCCTCTTCACCCCCAAGGCCCATTATGGTCTTATCTCCTTGTCACTCTATAGGAGGCCCCCACTTCAAGGCCCCTTTTGTGAGGAAGTCTGCATGTGTTTAAGATAAGACCAAGAGGTTTCCTCACAATAGTTATTTTGTCCTCTGGCTATTCATCCGAGGCTGTTACTAGCTGGAGCCATAGCCAAAGGGACCACAGTTTTACTGATTTTATTGTTTTACTGGTGTAGGCAGTTCCATAACCGCATACTAGGTCTCAGGGGTAATCCACAGCTGTTTATTCCAAAGTAGCACCACCTGGAGGAGTTAGTATGTTACACTGATGGGCGTCCAGAAATTGGGGTTTCCTTGGAACTCCATACTAATGTATGTAACCGAGTCAGAGAGGCGGAGTGGGAACTGGCTTGGATGCACATTCAGGGGACCAGGTGGGATGTCAGGAGCTGAGCCACTGTCCCTATTTCCAGGTCATTTTTGATATGGTCAGTTTCAGTGACTAGTCTGATCTGGCTCTCACAGCCCACTCCTGGCTTGGGTCCTCAGCAGCCTTGGTTGAGTGTGGTATACCCATGACTTGATGCCTACAACTTTAAGAGATGAGGGGGTGATGAGGATTGGGCATTTTTTTTTTTTTGTGCAGTGTCAGCCAAGTCTTCAAGAACCTCTAGAGGTGGTTATGTCAATACTCTCAGAGGTCCCCTGAGTCCTTTAGGAGCAGTGGAGGTGGCTGGCAGACATGATCTCAAAAAGGTAGTAATCATTTACAGGATGTGCAATGCATCCTAAACAGCATAGATATATGGTAGAGTTAAAGTCCTTTTATTTTCTCAACCAGGCCTGAAGATCAGGGGGGTGGTACTGCGTGTGCAAGTTTCTTAGGCACTTCTCTGTGCAGATGGAATAAGTTATGTAGCCTCAAAATGCATGCTATCACCAGAACGTATTGTTAGCTTCTCCTGAGTTGAGTGTCTGAAAAGTCTACTCTATATGTTAAATAGGTAAGACCCCTGTTTTGTGTCAACATGGGGGCCTTGAATCCCTGCTTGAGATTTTCCAAGAACACACAGTTTTTGCTAGTTCATTAGGTCAGTGTTGGCAACCTTGGCACCACCAAATATCTTTGTAATAATTCTTGTATGGCCATGGATCTAATCTACATGGGAAGTAGAAAAAGACAAGATCTCCTGAGTAAATTGGGAGCATGGGGATCATGGGAGAGGGTTGAAGGGGAGGGGAGAGGCAGGGAGGGATGCAGAGAAAAATGTAGAGCTCAATAAAAATCAATAAAAAAAATTTGTATGGCAGTTTTTTTCCCAGGTGGTTTGCTTCATAAGCTTTCGGGATTAGACTGGGTGCTGTTGTCCCTGGAATTATTATCTGTAGCAATCAGCCAGTCCTGATCTTTAGTAGCTTCTTCATCAATTGTTAAAACAGCCTTAGCAGATAGTGAGAGGGGACTGGGGGCCTTTGTCCTCATGGAAGGCAGGCTATTTGGCTGCCTAGTCTGCCAGTTGGTTTCCTTAACTCACTGGACGTTGACTCTTTGTGAGCCTGGCAGTGTAACACTACCATGGCCAGCTTCAGAGGCAATCTCCTGTTGGGTGATCAAGCCTGTCTGACTTTCTTGCCTATCTTCCCAGGTATCCTTACATGACCTGAATGTCCAGCCTAGTCTTGTTTTTTTTTTTCCCACTCTTGGATCTCACAGTCCCTTTGGCCACTGGAATAAGAGCCCAGAATCCAGTCAGGGGTACACACTTCTATGTTCCAAAGACTTTGAGTGAACTGAGAGGTCCTAGAGCAGTAGTCATTCTGCAACAACTGGGGTCCTGGTGAAGGAGATATCACTGGAGCCTCCAGAAATGTTGACCCAATCCTGTAACCATGGAAGGAAACCAACTTGGTTGGCTTGATGTGCAATCTTCTTAATGTGTTCTATAACTTGTAAGGACTTTTAAAATCATTTCTTTCATTCTTTGAGATTACAATTATACCATTCCCCCCTTCCATTTCCTCCATCCAAATTCTCTCATATACCCCTCCTTACCCTCTTTCAAATTTATTTGTTCTTTACTTTGAAAGAATTTTTCAAAGAAATTTTACACTTATGTCCATCAAGGAAAGTGGTCTGCAGTTTTCCCTTTGGTTTTCATGTCAGTGCAGTACTGGATTTATATAGCATTTTTGTGGGGATCTTTTTCTTTCTAATTTGTGGGAAAGTTTGAGGAGCATTGATATTAGCTATTCTTCAAAAAGTCACACGATTTGTCAGTGAAAACATTCAGTTGTGGGTTTCCTTGCCAGGAGTCTTAATCACTGCTTTCATCTCATTACACTTTATGGGTCTATTAAATGGTTTTATTTGTCTTACCCTCCCAAAGCCCTAGGCATTGGCTTTTAGACTGAATGGATACTCTCTTAGCACACATTATGTTGAAGTAGATTTGACCATTCTGTAACCTGTTTTATTAACATCAGTGTTGATGTTTAAAGCATACCATCATATAGTATTCCTTATGGCTAGGACTAGATAATGAAGCAGAAGCACAGAGACGCTTGTCCCTATTACCTACATTGGAAGGACAGAATGAGTCAATAGATGGGTATTAGCATAGTGTAGTTTGTGTTGTATAAGCTGTTAAAATAGCATTGCTCTTAGGTCTAATTATAAAGGATGCCTTCCTTGCCCTCCATATTTCTTAAGCCACACCTTGGCCATTTTCCAATCTTATTCCTCTATAGAGGGTCAGAAACCTATGAAAACAACATTTCCTAATCCTGCTAGAATACGGCCCATGTAGTCAATATCTCTGACTATTTCCTCTGCTTCTAGAGGCTGCACTCTGCCCTTAGGAAGGTCCATCCTTGGTAAATCTGACTGTCCTATCAAGGCATAGGCTCCCAGAGCTAAGTGTGGTTAGAATAGGACCTGGAGCTGGGTCTAGGGGACAGGCTAGGGCCTAGCAGCAGAATAGGAGTGGGAAATAAGGCCCACATTATTGGTTAGGTCTTTTGTAGTTTGAATGTTCTAAAATCCATTCTAGTCTCTCTGGTCATTATAAATATACATGAAAAAGATAGACCATTGTATAAAACATGTTTTATTGGTTGATTTAAATGTGGATTTCTCCAACTGAGCTCCTGTTCTGAAATTCAGCTGTCTCACTAGCCAGACTAAATAAATAGTTGGTGTTATAACTCCTTGTTGTTGACAGAGGTTTCTGTCCCACCAGGTCCCACAGCCATTCAGTCTCAAAGAAATTCACAGAGGCCTACATTAATTATAAACTGGTTGGCCTATTAGCTCAGGCTTCTTATTAACTCTTACGTCTTAAATTAACCCATAATTCTTGTCTGTGCTAGCCATGTGGCTTGGTATTTTTATCAGTGAAGCATTCTCATCTTACTTCCTCTACGTCTGGGTCATGACTGCAGACTGAGTCTTTCCTCTTCCTAGAATTCTCCTGTTCTGGTCACCCCACCTATACTTCCTGCCTGCCTACTGGCCAATCAGCATTTATTTAAACCAATACAAGTGACAAATCTTTACAGGGTACAAGACCGTTGTCCCACAGTACCCTTTCCTCCTTTACTGTGTATCATTCATTTCTGCATGAGCCCAGTGCTTCCAAGATTTTGAAAATGACCAGTTTAGAAGCCTATCTTTGTTTAAGATTTTGATACAGTCCTCAAACTTCCTGGTTTGCAGCCACCATGTGCTGGGTCCCTTTTCCCATCCCACCAAAGCCCACATGGAGGCCACCAGCTTGGTCACTCACATCACTGTGGAAACTACTTCTATATAGGGTAACCTCTTAAAATATTTTGGTCCACTGACAATCTTCAATCTGAGTTGCTCATATTCTATTTCCCTTCCTTCCCCATTCCCTAGACAGAAATAAACTACAGAATAAGCTTTATTGAATTTATTTGCTTTGTGTTAATCGAAAAATAAGAAAGTTAAAAGAAACAAACCTATCAGAATACATTCCTAGGCAATGAAAAACCTTAAGCTTATGATTAAAAATTGAGACTTGTTAGTAATTGGAGAGATATCATTAATGGGGAGTTCTCATAGTGAGAACGATGCAATGACTACATGGGAAAAACTGGGGAAGGGAAGTGTTAGAACTAATATACTGTGATTACCTATGTTAAGAGCCTTAGTTTAAACAAACTATTCACTATAGAAAAAAATGGAATGAAATCCAAACAATCAAAAACTTAACATTATCAAAAGGCAAAGCTAGAGGACCAAAATAAGGAGATGTCTTATAGATTAAATGAAAAAATTCAGCATGTTGTACAGTGTGACATTATAGCATCATCGGCAAAACCCAGCGCCAGTAATTTAAGTTAGCCATAGACTCTCATTGCCTTTCTAGACATGGTTTTGAATGGGGAAGCATCCAACATAGATGTTCAAGATGCATGTCTGCTTAAGCAAAGCAAGTACATGACAGAAGTAGATGTCCTTTGGATCTAGGGAAAAGGAGCTAGATTTACTGTTAAGGCATTTAAATGTAGATCTCTCATAATGTGTTCTGGACTTGAGAGATAGAATAAATGTGTAGAATTTGACAATGGAAAGGTTAATTAAGGTGGAGGAAACCCATCTGCCATAGACGATACCATTCCCTAGGCTTGGATCCTGGAGTATAAAGATAAAAGGAGAGAGTTTGAAGCAAAATGTGGTTGTTTTCTTTCTTCTAAGGCACAATGTCTGAAGTTAATGATTTCGCAAAACTTTTCTGGAGAACATGCTGGGTTTGGGGATATTGGTAGTGACTTTCTGAGGGTTAGACATTAGTAGTATAATTCAAAATGTTAATTGCTATTTCTAAAGTTATTTTCCTTAATAAAAACTAGCTCTAGAAAAACTGTTGTATGGAATTACCACAGCTACTGGCAATTACTACTGAAAATGCTGAGGCTCCATCCAGGAGCTATTCATTGCATGATATCTGCCATTTGGCTCCATGCTTGGGCTTTCTTCTTGGCCATTGAGAACCACACAGGCTCCTTGGGTGGTGAAACTTTGGGTGGCACACTTGAAGAGCGTCTGGTGTTTCTCTCCCTGGTATATGGGTGAAGCTTGTTCTGATCATCAAACACAACTGAAATCACAGAAAACAATGCACTGTCAGAAACCCCAGAGACACTAAAGCACATGTGAAGATGAAATGCAATGGACCATTCTTTCAGGTTTGCTCTGATCCCCCAGTTCTTAGTACTTTCCAACTATTGTTCTCTTAGAAGGCAGACTTATAAAAATCAGAGCTTGGGCAAATGGCCCAGTAAGTATGTATGTCCAGGGGCAGCATCAGGTTGGAAATAGCTGTAGGATCATAGCCATGGGAAGGGATGTGAGATGATTCTTGCAGTGTAACAGCTCATCATTTAACTTTTATTATTTCACGAGTTTATACTTTCAAACTCAAAATGTCACCCAAAGGGAAACATTTTACCTATTCCTTTTTTTTACACATCAGATCTGTTTTCACCAGTCACTGACATTGTGGAAAGGACTGATGACTCAATGAATTTATCTAATAAAATCCAGAGAAATAATACTCTATCAACCCCTGTGGTCCGACAGACTACTATCTGTTCTCCAACCCCACTCCCTTTGACTAAACAAGTGTTTCTCCATTCTAACTACACATCGGAAACAACTAGGAACATTTAAAAAATACCAGTGTGTCTGAATGTGATGGTTCATGCCTCTAATTCCAGCATTTCAGATGCTGTGACAGGAGGACCAGGAGTTCGATGCTCTAGCTTGGGCTATATTGCTGAAATCAAATGACAACCACAACGCCCCCCCCAAAAAAAAACAAAGAAACACAAAAACTGGCAGTGCTTATGCAATTTCTTGAACCCACTGAAACAGTAGGGATGGAGTGAAGGCCGCCTATCATTTAACAATATTCCTGGTGGATCTATTCTACAGGGGAAGCCGAGAACCACATCTTAAAAATATACTGCTCATAAGACATGGATCAGTACGATCACAGCTATTTCCACAGCCAAATAATGGGTTCCTGAGTCGAATGTAAATCATCCTCCTCTCCAGTTTTGGTGAGGGTCCGGGGGATGATGGTGTGCCAGAGACCAGAGACCTTGAACCAGACCAATGACTCATGGCAATGAACATTTGTGGATGGGGCTGATTGGACAAAGGGTACACTGTGTGACACACCGCAGTTCTCAATGTCGCTGGGATGAACTGAGGCTGGAGTGATGGAGGACCAAGGTGGGGTTTGATGTTTGTTTGTTTGTTTGTTTTGTTTTAAATTAAATTTTGGAAGATTATTTTTGAGGCGTGCTGCAGGGGTGAGGAGTAGATGTGAAAGGACTGGGAGGTGAACAGGATTGGGGTATAGGATGTGAGATTCCTAAAAAAAAATCAATAAGTAATTATGCTATTTTTTTAAAAAAAAAAAAAAAACCCTCATCCTCCTCAACATCAGCTCCTGCTGAGGAAATCCCTCTGGCACATAACTCTCACCGATGAGGCCACAGTCTATCATTACCTGTCACATTTCTTTGCAGCTTTCAACATCATACCCCCATGTCTCACACCCTCAGTCAGAATAAAGGGCATGTGAAGCAAGCCTTTGCAGTAATCGTGAATCCGTGCTGATGGGCCTATACAGTGGATTATTGTCAACAGATTTCATTGAGGTTAGAACAGGTGAAGAAACACTGCCTTGCTATCAGCTTGAAAATGGCATGGTACTTTCCTCTCCTACCTAGCCACAAGAAGATTTTGTGCCTTGCTTCGATCGCTTCTTCAGTGAGGTGAGAGACTAGAAAGAGCTATGGAAATTGCACACTGGACTCAGCTATAACAATTGGATTTCCTTAAAGTAAGCTAATGTCTGTGGCATTTCATGAAAGAGACATGAAAGAATAATGAAGCTGATTCGATCAATAAGAGAAATACATTGCCTGAACTTGAAATTGCAAAATGTTTCACCACGTTCCTCTGGGCTTTTTTGACATGTGAGAATGAGTACTTTCACCTGATTTTGTAAACTTAGATAGCCTTGACGACTCCTCTCTGGGAACAGTGGAATAAAAAGTCATTCTTGAGGGGATATCAGTTGAGGGTTCTGGTTCCTGTAATAGCAAAATGAAAAGAAAATCTTTGTAAGCCCTTACAATAAAGACAGCAAGCTACTTAGAAGACAACATGGTGTGAACCCTGTCCTGGGTATTATGAGTTCAACAATAATCAGAAAAAAAATAAACACTTGAAAACACTAGGAAAAAAAGATAGAGGATATAGATATTGATGCAGAAGTATACATCTGGCTAGAAATCTCTAACTATTAAAAATTGATTATATAGATCAATAACAAAAGTTAGCACAAAGCTCCTTGGGCTTGTAATACACACATATATAATACATATATATTTAATGATTTATTTGGCATATATATTATTTAATTATGTATCTATTTGTGTGTGTGTGTGTGTGTGTGTGTGTGTGTGTGTATGTGTGTGTGTATTCAAGTGGTTTGCTGCATATATGTGTGTGCACCACAGACACTGCCGTTGAGGCCAGAAGAGAGTATTGCATCCCTGGAACTGGAGTTACACTTGGTTATGAGCTGCTCTGGGGGTGCTGGGAACGGAATCCATGTCCTCTGAAAGAGCACTAAATGTTCATAACCACTGTGTAATCTCTCCAGTACCAGAACTTAAATTATTAACAAATCCCAAACTGCATCAAGTTTGCCACCTTTCTTTCAGACCAGGAAGAAAAGCTGTCTAGTAACACAAATAGTGTAAACAAACTGATAAGAGAACACCTTCTCTCTTGTCTATGACCAAAGCATCCTGACTGCTCCCAGTCTCTTCTGATCTCAGAAGCTAAGTAGTGCTGGAGCTGGTTATTACTTGGATGGGAGAACAACCTTCTCTATAACATTGTACCATCACTTAGCTGTGAGCTAACAAGATGTGATGGTTCCAAGCAAATCTGATCCAGTTGGTTGAAGGAAGCACTATATGATCTCTACCTTCCAAAACTGGTTGGTATGCGACTAGAAGTGCTTTTTCCGCTAGGAAACGATGTAACTGTATTGTGTAGCCTTTTAAAGTTGATCTCTCCACAACTGTTCTAAGTCAACAGTTTACACACGCTAGGGTATTTTCCCCTGACAAAAGAGGTAGCCAATGACAAAAAAATTGGAAAGATCTTTAAAGCAGAGTGATGATTAAAGCATGACTCCCTTAATAAATTTAGTAAGCACTTCTATAGGATCTCAGAGACAGCTTTTGATATGTAAATGTAATTTGCTTTCTTGAGGTTCGTTTTCGGCAGATTTCCTAAGAAGAAAGCATTATTCCATCATCCCTATCCTCATGTCTAGTACATCCTGTAACATTTTAAAATCTACAGGTAAGTGTGAAACCAACCAAATCGGTATGTAGAAGTGTGAACATCAACACCTAAAAGTACGTATTTAGGGACTGATATGGAAAGGAGTGCATAACGAAACATTAAATGAAAAAAGAGCTCCCCTTCCCTAAGCTTTCACTGCCCAGTTTTAATTACACATGGTCAATCACGGTCCAAAAATATTCAGTGAGATTTTTCATAAATAAACACTTGATAAAGTTTACACTGACAGCCATTTCTAGTGGCCCAGAATCCTCACCCCTTCTCATACCCACCTGGCTGTGAATTTCCCTTTGGTCCAGCATCCCACACTGTATGCTCATGTTTCCTGTCTTTTACTTAGCTGTCTTAAGTGTCTGATGCCCTGGGATGGTGTCATCATGAGTGCCCCAAAGTGCAAGAGCAATGATGCTGTCCATTGAGACCCAAGAGAGAGAAGCTCTAAAGGGCCTCCATTGCACAAACAAGCAAAAATCCTGGACTTACGAGGAGAATTTGGAAACATCTTAGGCTGAGGTTGCTAAAATATATAGTAAAAATAATTCGAACTTTGAAATTGGGAGGAATACTATCTTTGAGCTCAGATTCTGAAAAGTTAACCATCATAACATATAAATAACGAGTTAAAGTGGAAAGGACATTCAACTACAGGGCTCCTTACTGTGTGCAGCTCCCCTCAGAGACTCTTGGGATAAAGGGGCCTTCTGTGTTCATAGTTTGATTCTCATTTATGAAAAACATGTGCATGTACTTAAAGGTATAACAAATAGTTGCTCCGTTTTTACTTTATTTGTTATCTCTGTCTTATTATTTCTGTTTGTAGTAATAGGGCTGTTGTTTTATCTCCTTTTTTAGGCACCCAATTTCATGGAATTCCACTTCAGAATATTTCGGACAAGGCTTAATTTATAGACTTCATATCCATTACTTTTCATAAATGCTGTAAGAGCATCTAGGCTGTCACATTTGTGTGAATACAAAATAAAGAATTGTCCTTGGCTAATGCTCCCAGTAAGAGATGGTGACTGCGTGTCTGGCAGAACTCCTAGTGCAAGCTCCGTCAGTGGATCCACTAACCTTCCGTGAACTCTCCATGCCTGGATCATATTTTGACTGATATTTTTGCTCCTTGGTCTCAGCCCTAATTTCAGCTCTGGTCCGGGGTTTTTTAGGGAAGTGGGAGGCAAAGCTCTTTTGCCTCTGTTTTGCCACACTGATCCAAGATGGTTCTGTAGTGTAATCTGACTTCAAACTAGAGGTCTTTTCTGAAAAAGAAAGGAAAAGAATTAGAAAGGAAGCCAGGCAGAAAGAGTCTTCAGTCTGATTTAGATTGCCCACAACAGTGATCCAAATAGGATCATTTCTGGTTGTCAATCAAAAATAGAGACCATTTAGGGAAAGGCCATTCTCTTTTGTACCCTTCCTACAAAGTGGGAAGGCAGGATTAAGTAGTTAAATAGTTGCGCATTCAAATGGGCAACTCTTAGTGAATCCTTTCTTTCCTTTTTTTTATATTTATTTTATTTATTTATTATGTATACAATATTCTGTCTGTGTGTATGCCTGCAGGCCAGAAGAGGGCCCCAGACCCCATTACAGATGGTTGTGAGCCACCATGTGGTTGCCGGGAATTGAACTCAGGACCTTTGGAAGAGCAGGCAATGCTCTTAACCACTGAGCCATCTCTCCAGCTCCCGAATCCTTTCTTTCCTTTAGCCATCCCTCTTCCCATCCCCAGATCAGGACAGGACAATGGTTGTCAGACAGGCTGAGAAAATTATCAAGATGCCAAAGACTCAGACCATTGATGCAATCCCTCCAACTCTAAGAAAAATCTTACAGATTGTTACTTCTTGGTCCCTTGTGCAAACGTCACTGTGAAATAGGTGTGATCAGAGGCAGAGACAAGAACAGGCAGGGATGATACTAAGGACACAATGTGTTTTGAAAAGAGTAGGTCACCTTGATCTGGAGTAAATTAAGATGATTTCGTATTGCCCTTGATGAACTGGGTTTGGGGGATCTGACTGACAGATTAAAGTGACATGGTGTATGTAAAGTTATTGTTTAATTTTTAGGAACTCGTGGGATTCTGCCCAAAGAACGCTCTACATGAGGTAGATGGAGAAGGGAGAGGAGGAGGTCCTGCGTTTATTAATGAGAAGTAAATGGATGCCCTGACCGCTGCCTCCTGGGGAAAAGGAAGAGTACAAAGGAGTTACTTCTGAATATTTTCATCCAAGATGCAGCACTAGCCCCATCTCTAAATCCACAGCTAGTTCTGTCAAAGTCGTACAGTTGGAAACCTAGAGGCCACAGAGTTCATGGCCCATTCATCTAAGGCTTTGTCTTACAGGTCTTCTCTCTGGAGAGACAAAACTCTTACCTGGAGGTCGGAAAACTGTTGGCTTCTTGAAAATGCCTTCATATCTGGGCCTGCTTCCTTGCTTTTGTGCACAGCTAAGTGCTTGGCTGGACTTCTCATGGCCTCCGCTGAAGCCCTGGGGAGTTCCTTTGTTCGTCTGTTCTTTGCCTGCTGGGACAACTGGCGCGATAGGCTCTGGGATCCCACTCCTCTGGGAGATTTTCCGCAGTCGCACTCCAAAAACATTTTCTACATCAGACTTGCTGGTGGAAAGAAACGAAGAACGCTCTTTTTCGTCACGGCGCTGAGGAACTTCCTCCTTAGAGTAAGCGCCAGTTGAAGCAAATGCTTTCTGGGCAGGAACCCAAGTGAACTTGCCAGGTTTGGTAACGGAAGTTGGGGCGCTTTTAATGAAGTCCCCATAGCCTTGTGTGTCTTTCATGGTTTTCTTTGTAGAATCTGGGCCTTTTGGCATGGACCAGCTGCCAGTATTCTTCCTAGAAGTGGATCCTTCCGTGGCAGCATTGGAAGAACTTAAGTAAACTTGTTGCTGATAGTCAGAGATCACTAAAGCCTGAGCAGACTGACCGGGAGGCCGATGCCCCTCAGAACTGCGCCACTCCACAGGAACATTTGCAGGAGCTTTTGATAAAACCGGTGGCTGCGACCTAGCTACATCGAAGCCTTGAGAAGGCTGTGTGGAAGGCGGTTGGACTTCGGACCTCTTCCACTCTTCGGGAAAACTCACAGAAACGGAGACTTTCTGCCTGTATTCAAGCTTTCCCAGGGACTGAGAACTGTCCACTGCTGAGCTGCTCCACTTCCCAGGGGCGCCCTTAGAATATGACACAACTTCCTGGGACTCTTTCGGTCTTCTGGGCGACTGCGGAGGCTGCTTCAGGGGCAGCTTCTTCAAAGTGGTGTCTTCCTTAGGCTCATCATCCCAGTTCTGTAAGAACACTTGCTCCTCCAGTTTAGGCTTCACCAAAGATCTGGAAGGACGGCTTCGATTCTGAAGCACAGGTTTTCCATAAATGGCCGTCTCCCCAGCAGTACTCTCTGAGAAGATTTGATCTGCCATAAATTTCACAAAGGACTGGGAAGGAGCACTTCTACCCTGTTGTTTCTTAGAGCTGTCTTGATCATCAGCACTCTCCAGACTGTAGGGCATGTCCTTAACTTTAGAACTCATTAAGAACGGGGTGGCAACTTTGGGAGGCGGTGGCTTCCAGGAAATGCCTCCCTCAAAAGAGGGACTCTCGCACGTTGAGGGAGTCTTCTGGACTTGAAGTTTTGTAATGCTTTGGGAAGGATTTCTGGGAATCCATGCCTCCTTATAAATGTCCCCCTCTTTGGCAAAACCTTCTAGACTTGAGGCTTGGCGCTCAGACTCAGAACCCAACCATGGATGAGGTCCATATTTTGAAGGCATTGGCTCAATAGGAATGCCCCATTCTCCAGAAGCTCCCAATAAATCTGAGGAAACTTCTTCCTTGAATTCTGTGCTCCTTGGAAGTTGATGTCTTCCAGGCTTCATAATTGGAGAAACTTTCTCATCTGCTGCATAAGTCTCCGGATCTACTCTTGACTGGAAAGAGAATCTAGAAGGCATGAGCTCCACAGAGCCGCTCTGTGGTACAGAAATAGCCACTAACTCTGTGGAGACTGGCTGTTGGACTATTGATCCCATCAAGGGCTGAGAAAGCTCTCTGGGAGCTGGTGGATCAACAGGAAAGCTCCATGCTGCCTTTGCAGCCTTGTCTGGGGGCGCAGAGATTTGTTCAAATGGAGAAGTTGGCCATGGCTGCAAAGGGTTTCTAGGAGACAATGGCTCTACAGTGACTTGTTGTATAGATGTGTTCATGGATCCTGTGGAGGCTGACTGTGGGATTCCTGATCCCATCAAGGGCTGAGAAGGCATTTTGGGAGCTGGTGGATGAATAGGAATGGCCCATGCAGCAGGAACGTTGCCAGGGAGTACAGGTATTTGCTCAAAGTTAGGAGTCACCCATAGCTGGGAAGGGCATCTGGAAGAACCTGGCTGTACAGACATGATCTCTTGGGCCTCAGGACTATCTGAACCTGTAGGCACTTGCTTAAATTTAGGGACAGGCTGTGTTTGGAAGATATGTTGAGTAGGTGCGGACTCCATAGGGTTTCCCCCTTGAGTGGAAGCACGCATTGGATCTCGGGTCATCTGTGGTTGGAATTTGGACTTTACTGAGGGTTGAGGAGGCAATAGCTCCATCAAAGAGGCACCTTCTACTGAGGTACTTTCTGCGACTGGTTGACTTTGAGGAGTTAGTAAGGAATGAGTAGAATATTTGGTGTGCAGTGGGCCCATGGCAATGACCTGAGCAGCGACAGCCTCGGATTCTAAAGGCACATTTTGATAAGGCTGCTTCATAGGCTGGGAAAGGGAAAGGGACGCATGCTCCATAGAAGAGTTCCCTTCGAAAGCTGTGCTCTCTGAACCGGAAAATGATTGCTTCCCTTGAGGCTTCAGCCATGGATGGAAAGATTGTGCCAGAAGCCTTGAATCCATAGGAACACCTCTTTCAAAAGTCGAAGCCTGGTGCTGGGTGAAGGGTTTCAACAGGGGTTGAGGAAGATGCTGAGGAAGCAGGGGCTCCATAAAATGACTTCCCTCAAATGCAGCACTTTCTGCACCCAGTGAAACTTCTTTCTTGATGGTTGGTCCCACTGAAGGCTGAGAAGGGTATCTGGGAGACTGTGCAGCAACACATTGTTCAAAAATGCCAAGCTCTGGGCCTGCAGAAATATCTTGCTCAAGCACTGGTCTGATTGGGGCCTGAGAGTGGTGGCTGAGAAGCAGGGCTTCCATGGAAGCTGCCTCTCCCATGGTCGAAACGTCTAGACTTGGGGGGATATTTTGCTCAATGGTGTGCATCACTGGGTGCTTCAAAGCCTTTCTAGGGGATGGTGGCTGCATAAAAATGTCCCAGTCAGCAGCAGTGTCCTCTGCAAACACTTGATGCTCAGACTGAGGGCTCATCCATAACCTGACAGTGTGGCCGGGAGGTAGTAACTCCACGGGTCTGCTTTGTGCTGCAGAAACGTTCCCCAAAATGGGGAGGTGCTGCTGAGTATCAGGGCTCACAATGGGTGGAGAAGTGTGTACGGGGTGCACTGGCTTGGCAGAACCACTCCACTCTTTTGGGATACTCTTCGAAACTGGGGACACTTCTTGCTGGTCTCTGGACTGACCCAGGGCCTGCTTGAAAGGTTCAGGAGGCTGTTCTTCCTCCGAGCTGCTCATATCCTCAGAACTGTGATACTTCTCAAAGTAACTGCTTGACTCTGTGGAGACTTCATTTTCTTCAGACTCCAGCAAGGCCTGGGAATATCTCCTGGAAGCCAACTTCTCTTCAGAGACAGAATCGATGATAAAACTTGCTGATTCTGAGCATCCTTCAAACTCGTCCAAGGACTGGAAGGACTGGGCAGATGTCATCTCGCAGCTTCTCTGATCGTCTAAGGAACTGTCTGATTCTGAGGAGACTTCTCTAGCTTTGGCCTTTCTGAGAGGCTGCTGCCACCCCGTCTTGCTCAGTTCTGCATCTGCACTTCCTGCTTTCAGGAAGACATCGTCATCTTGAGGGCTCCATAGAAGCTGGAAAGAATGCGCGGAGCCCAGTTGCACTTCAGAACTACTCTCATACTCTGAACTACTGTATGAATCGGTGGAGATTTCCCCTGCAGGTGGCCACCTCCTGAGGGGAAGAGGCGACATGGGCATAGAAACATCATCTCCTGCGGTAGTGCTTGAAACACTTGCTGAAAAGGCCCGAAGGCCACCTCTGGGATGCCTCCCTTTGGGGTAAGTTGTGCTCTCCAAGGATAATTCCTTTCTTGGTAGAAACTTCTGCAAAACAAGGCTGGATGCTTCTCCCTCTTCTCCATGGACTTGAGAAGGATACGCACACGCTTGGGCCTCCACTGTCCTCGAGACAGTGGCCTCTTCTTGGCTTGTGGATGCTTGTCTTATCCGTGAACTGGCTTTCTCCTTTTTCTTCTTGCCTTCAGAAAACCCTTCTTCACGGCTGAGTAGTGGACTGCTCACTGTGAATTCTGCCACTTGTGTAGGTGTAGGCTGTGGTGCTGGTGTTCTTTGGGCTTCAACATCTACGGTAGCCATTTTCCCCTTCACATTCCCTTTATTGGAAGGCATCTTCTGAGGAGTAGTAACCGCTGCTTGTGCAGTTGGGTTCTGCTCTGTGCTTTGCTTCTCCAGACAAAGCTTCAAGAAAGAGTGCTCCTTACCAGGCAAATCTTCAGTAGGTGAGGAGCCAGCTTTCCCAGCCAGGTCATGTTCTTTCGTGGATTTTAGAAGGTCTTTCTCTACTAAACCCAACTCGTTTTTGACTCTTCTTCTGCGTCTTCTTGGATGGGATCCTGAAACCGAGTGGCCTGTGCTCGAGGCAGCATCAGTACTTAGAGACTGATGTCTTGTCTTCTTCTTATCCTGAGAGTCAGGTTTGTAACTCTGCTCCTGGATTGTAGGCCCTGTACCAAATGTAAAAAGGAAAGGAGAGATGTGTGTGCTTTCGACTTCCTAAAAGAGTACCACTCTCCCCTGGCTATGTTTGCTACCAAATTCCCTGATATGAACATGGAACTATGCAGGAGATATTCCCTTGTTCACTGCCAGCTTTAAGCGATGGAAAATGTTTCTAGTGAAGGGCAATTTCGATCCTATGAGCAGATAGTCTTGGACTGGGTCATTAGCATGCCATCAGTATTCTGCTTGACCATTAGGTGTGAGATTCAAAGGAGGCAAATGGTGATTTTTGTAACAATGATTACATTTGAGAAACCTAACTGGAGCAGGAGCAAGGGAGATTCTTTTTGAATGACTTTTATTTTATTATTGTGTGGATGTGGATATTTTGCCTGCATGTAAGTCTTTGTATGACGTGTGTGCCTGGTGTCTGGAGAAGCCAGAAGAGACCTCAGATGCCCTGGAACTGAAGTTACAGATGTTTGTGAGCCTCCTGCATCTGTGAGGTACTCCTTCGGGACTTTTTCCTCTACAGCTCAGTTTGATCTAAGTTAACAGCCCCGCTGTGCTGGGTCCTTCTTCACAGACATTGAGTCTGACGTGCCACCTAGTGGTTGCATCTGCAGCATACAGCGCAGAGCTCCTTGATTTAGGGCCTGTGCTCTTTCTAAATCAGGCCTTTCCTGTGGAACAGCAACCACTTTCTCTAAACTGGAAGAGAACTGTGGCTCCTACGAGAATAATTTGGGGGAGCCAGTTCTGTTGTTCCTATCTTCTTGCATTGTCGGGGAAGAATACTGGATAGGCCATCACTAGCTGCACTCCACAGAACTCAGCAAGCATAGCCATTTGAAAGAACTGAACACATTTACAAACAACGTGCCTCTCCAGTTGGAAATTCATTTAGATAGGATAAAAAAAAAATATGTGGGGTCTGGAGAAACAGCTCAGCTGTTAAGAGCACTGACTGCTCTTCTAGAGGACCGGGGTTCAATTCCCAGCACCCACATGGCAGCTCACAACTGTCTGAAAATCCAGTTCCAGGGGATCTGACACCTTCACACGAATGCACATAAAGATAAATAAATCATAAAAAAATTAAAAAAAAACATGTGTGATCCTTTCCACAAAGAAACCATTGTTTCTGTCGGTTTAGGAGGAGAATCTCGGGCCATACTTTTGTAAACATATCTTTAATTTAATTAAAATTTTTGTTTTTGTGATATTTTTAAGTGATGCATCTGGGAATATACCTCATAGAGGGTCCTTAACCCTTTCACTACTGAGATAGGCAGCAAACAATACGCCAGAAGGGTCACACAGAGTCTCCCACAGTGGAAAGCCTGCCTCCCTGGCTTGTGGTGAGGTGCCCAGGGCCCTAATACATTCATAGGCTTTCATTATTTTTTAATTCTGGGTATGGGTACATACATGCAGGTGCCCACAGAAATCATAAGTGTCAGATGTCCCTGGGGCTGGGCTTATGCACAGTTGTGAGCTGCCTTACTTGAGTGCTGAGAACCAAACTGGGGTCCTCTGTAAGAACAGTGCACACTCTTAGCTGTAGAACCCTCTCTCCAGCTCACTTGTGTGTATCCGACACACAAGAGGACCCAGGGTAGCAGCCCTGATGAGAGGGCGTTTTTGTTTATACTCCCAGCACACTGTACTGTTCATGGAAGACTGAGATCCACAGACGGGCAGTGAAGGGATTCTAACCTGTGCTGTCCCTTTTGTGCTCCTTCCGGTCGGCGTGTTTTGTCTTGGTTGTGGCCTTTTCTTTAGTCACCAGTGACGCAGGCTGCTCTTCCTGCTTTGCTTTGGCCTGAAACAAAATTTCAAAGAAAAACAAAGAACTTCATTCTGACTGCCATATTCCCCAGATCTTTACACAAGTGACCAAGGCAGAGGCGGCATGCCAGAAGGTTCACAGGAAGTCTCCCATAGTGGAGAGCCTGCCTCTCTGGGTGATGGGAGGTGTCCATGGGGCCCAATATGTGAATAGGCTTTGGCCCCTAGGCTCCCCAGTGGAGAGCTGCCCTCCCAATTCATATTTTGTTTTAAAAGCAAAATTGAGATATCTTTTATAATTTTTATTTTTGAGATTATGATATAATTACAACATTCTTCCCTTTCTCTTCCTCCCTCCAAACACTTCCACATCCTCCTCTTTGTTCTCTTTCACATTTATGGTCTCTTTTTTCATTAATTATCATTATATGCCCACACATATTATGTGTGCACAAATATTCCTAAATATTACCTGTTAGATCTATATAATGTTGCTTATTTGTATGTTTTTAGGGCTGATCATTTGGTAAATTAATTGGTATTCTTTTCCCTGGGGAAGACTATTTTTCCCAATCTTAGTATTTCTTAGCTGTCTGTAGTTACCTGTGGCGGGCTGAGGCATCATAAGATTTGTCCCAGTCACTTTGACATGTCTATATATGTGTCATTGTTCCACTAATCTCTCTTTGTACCCATCTTTTTAAATGGGTATTGGGAACCAAACTCATGTCCTCACACATGTGATATTTTTATTTTTATTTATTTATTTTACATCCCAACTGCTGTTTCCCCTCCCTCCCCTCACAGTCCCAACCATACCACCTCCCCCCCCCACACACACACACTCTTCCTCCTTTTCTATTCAGAAAAGAGCAGGCCTCTCATAGCTATCAACCAGGCGCAGTAAGACCAAACACCTCCTCATGCATTAAGACCATGGAAGGTGACCCAGTATGAGGAGTAGGGTCCCAAGAGCAAGACAAAGTGTTAGGGACAGCCTCTGTTCTCAATGTTAAGAGTCCCACAAGAACACAAAGTTACACAACTGTAACATAAATGCAAAGGACTGAAGTCAATCTCATGTAGGTTCCCTAGCTGTTGGTGCAGTCTCTGTGGGCCCTGATACAAAAATATTCAACCAAATACGTGCAAAACAAATCCAAGAACACATCAAAAAATTCATCCAGCATGACCAAGAGGCTTTCATCCCAGAGATGGAGGGATGGTTCAACATACAAAATTTTGTCATGTGATCCACGATATAAACAATCCAGAAAAAACCACACATGATCATCTCATTAGATGATGAAAAAGTCTTTGACAAAATTCAAACCCGTTCATGATAAAAGTCTTGGAGGGATTCAAAGAATATATGTGCACATAATAAAAGCAATATACCACAATCTGATTGCCAACCTCAAATCAAATGAGGAGAACTCAAAGCAATTCCATTAAAATCAGAGAAAAGACAAGGCTGTCCATATCTATTTCATATAATACTTGAAGTTTTAGTTAACATGAAAATGAGATCAAGGGGATATAAATTGGAAAGGAAGAAGTCAAATTTTTGCTATAGTATGATGCTGTATATAAGCAACCCCAAAAATTCTACCAAGGAAACTCCTACACTGATAAACATCTCCAGCAAAATGGCTGGTTATAAAATTAATTCAAAAACTCAGTAGTTCTCCTCAATACAAATGATAAACAGGTTGAGAAAGAAATCAGGGAAACAGCACCCTTCACAATAGCCACAAATAATATAAAACATCTTGGGGTAACCTTAACCAAGCAAAAGAATGACCTTTGTGCAAGAACTTCAAGTCTTTGAAGAAAGAAATTGAAGAAGACATCAGAAAGTGGAAAGATCTCCCATGCTCTTGGATAGGTAGGATCAACACAGTAAAAATGCAATCTTCCCGAAAGCAATCTACAGATTCAATGACTGCATCAAAACCTATCACAGTTCTTTACAGACCTTAAAAGAACAATACTCAACTTCATATGGAAAAACAATAAACCCAGAATAGCTAAAACCAATCCTATACAATAAAAGAACTTCCTGAGGATCACCATCCCTAATTTCAAGTTCTACTACAGAATAATAACAATAAAAACCTCATGGTATTGGAATAAAAACAGACAGATGGATAAATGGAATTGAATTGAAAACCATGACATAAGCCCACACACCTATGCACACCTGGTTTTTGACAAAGAAACCAAAATTATACAATGGGAAAAAAAAGCATCATCAATAAATAGTGCCACATAATTGGATGTTGGCACATAGAAGAATGCAAATAGAGACACATCCACCACCCTGCACAGAACTCAAGTCCAAGTGGATCAAAGATAGAACCTGGTAGAAGAGAAAGTGAGGAGTAGCCTTGAACACGTGATTTTAAGAGAATACTCTTAAAATTTTTTGTTTTGTTTTTAGATATATGTATGTGCTGTGTCTTTGTGTGGGTCTGTGCACATGTGTCTGCAGATACCTAAAGAGTCCATAAGAGGACATTGGATTACTGGAGCTGGAGTTACAGGCAATTGGGGGTCACCTGACATGAGATGAGTGAGTGCTGAGAACCAACCCTGGGTTCTTCGTAAGAGCAGTATGATCTGGCAACCATTGAGAGATCTCGCCAGAGTTCGTTGCTATGATTCTAACTTATTAGCTCTGCCTAAGTATAGCTTGACTTGCTAGTAATTCATGCAGAACTCTTTGGCAGCGTGTGGAGGTCTTTGGAAGGGCTGAATTCTGAATGACTAGAATTGCCGAAAGCCTGGTCTCGGAAAGAGTGGAGCAGCGCAGCAGTTTATAGCTCATGGGTCTCAAACAATCAATCAATCAATGAATCTTCATCCTTGCTAGGCTTGAATACTCTCTGCAGAAAGGACTGAAGGGATTTCCAGGAACTTAACCAATAAGTAGGTTGAACAGGGTTAACTCTGTTTCTGCTTTCCCCCATTTCCTTTCATAGAAGTTTCAAATTGACGGGACATTTCACGCAGTCAGCACAAGCTTGCTCACCCACTGCATGCATCAAGGCCAGGACAGTGATATATGGGCATTACTATCCCTACTAAAGGGTGTGGACCACCCATCAACTGTGTCCAGCTGTGGCCGTCAGGCAGCACATGGCCACATGTGGCCAAGGGTATCTATGAATGTGGCCTAACACAAAGCCACAAACTTAAAGCTTGATATTTGGGGCGTCTTTTTTTTAAAAGAAAATTCAATTGCACGGTTCTGAAGCATGAACTTTGTAGATAACAATGCCATGGCACCATGTTCAAAAGCGGGACACATCTATACACGGAGAGTTTCCTTAACAGCAGAGGGCACGGGTCAGAACTCGTCTTTTCTCTTAGAATCTCTTAGAAGACTTACAGAAGAGGAAGCTGTCTTCTTCCTCTTCTGTTTCCGGGGATTTAAAGCTATCTTGTATTTAGCAGCGGAAGAATCCAAGCAGCCTTGTGAGGTGGCTGGGGTGCTGAACCCTGAGAGCAGCTGAGCGCTGCTTTGAGAAGACTGCGAGAGATCAAGCTCCGAGAACAATTCCAAGCCGCTCTGGAGAGTGGAAAAACACGTGACTCAATACATGCAGACACTGGCCCTGCCCTTGAAGCCAGAGGTGCCTCTTCCTTGTTGAGAAATGCTTACAGAAACCTTTCGTGGATGACTGCCCTCTTTTCTTCCCCTTCCTGTGCAAATGTCACTTGGGATCCTTTGTAAAGTGAGAAACAGGAAGAAACTGGGGTGCTTCCTCACTCAGGAAGCAACCAGGGTGTCCTGTTGCCCTCACAAATGGAACACATAGTGGAGTTTACAAGGTGGAATCCTTGCATGTTCTCGTGTCCCATCTTCCCTTCTTAGTGACAGAAAGACATTTGTCTAGGGAGCAAGGTGCAACCTTGTACGAAAGAAACTCCATGGGCTCTGGAGCCGCTGTATTGGAGTGTTAGATGCATGGAGAAAATCCAGTTGGAAGAAGCCCTCTTTGCAAGCTCTGTTTTTGTAGAGAGCACACTAACTTTATATTTACTGTTTGTGGGTCCAAAGCTGACAGGAAGACTCTGGGAACTGACTTTCCCCACTTCCAATGAAGCATAGGCAGAGCCCATAGCCTTGTCCTCCTTGTGCTTGGTTCCATCTCCCAAAACTATTTGGATCTGGGGCACCTGGTTGCATTCCTTGGTAGGAACTTTGAAATAGTCCCCTGGAGGATTATGGGCATAACATTTTCTACACTCTCAAGAGACACGCATGAGGTCACCTACTCCTAAGTACCTGCAAAGAAGTCACATTGAATAGCAGGTAATGGACATGTTCACTCCCGGACATCAGCAGCACATGACAGCATGTTCCTTTTGTGTTTATCCACTAAGTCCTTTTCGAAGGACTTGCCCTTGGCAAGAGGCAGAGTACACATGCAGCCACATTGCCTACGAACACTGTATGCTGACACAGGGATATCTTCAGCTGCTTATCGAGACTCCAGCTATGGTCCTTTTATGGTCTGTGATTTCAGTGGGGGGGGGGGACTGAGCAGTGTTAATGGGTCGGGGTACTGATAAACAGAGATCACCTTTCTGGCTTTACCTCTAATCTAAAGGAACACTGCAGCTGTTTTGGGGGGTCAACCACACAGCATTAGCCGAGGCCCCAAGCTCTTCTTAACTTGTTGTTTTTCGACACATGGATTCTTTGTGTAGCCCTAGTTGTCCTGGAACTCGCTCTGTAGACCAGGCTGGCCTCAAATTCAGAGATCTGCCCGTGTCTGCCTCCCAAGTGCTGGAATTAAAGGCATGCACCACCACTGCCTGGCTTTTCTTAACTTCTTTATGCAACTTTATCCATTAATTTATAAACATCCCTCCCCAGTATAGTTTATTTGGCTTGAGCCATCACCTACAATTACTAGCTGACTGCTCAGCACATGGAATGACATCTCGTGCTTTGCTGTTCTGAACTTCAGAAAGACCATCTCATAGCTCTGGCTCTTGCAAGTGTATGAGCACCATCTATGCCCCAGTTAACTTCACGTGACTGTATCCCCCTCTTGCTCCTTTGTCCTCATCTTCTTACCATTTACTGATCCAGACACACTGCTGGTTTGCTTCTCTTAAAACAGTCCCAGCATGCTCTCCAGGGGACTCTGTACCAATGGTGATGGGTCTGCTATCCACCTTGTCCACATAGCTAGCTCCCTCCCTCACTTAAGTAAGTCTCTGCTCAGAATCTGTCTTCTCATGGAAGCCTTCCAAGGCCAACCTACTTTGAACATTTTATCACTGATGTGTGTATGGGGGGTGCTATGTATGTGCATGCAGGTAGCCTTGCCCATGTATGCACCCATGAAGGCCAGAGGTCAACACATCAGGTGTCCTTCTCTGTCCCTCCCCACTGCTGTGCAATATTAGTTGAAGATGTGCTACATCTGTTTATGCGGTGGAGCATTGGTTTAGCGATGCAAAGAAGTGGCGAATTGCTTTGCTGTTGCATTTGTTTAACTCTTTAAAACTGTGTTACTGTGCCTGTCTAAAACATCTGATTGGTCTAATAAAGAGCCATGCAGCCAATAGCAAGGCAGGCCTGCCAGGCAGAGAGAATAAATAGGAGGAGAAATCTAGGCTCAAGAGAGAGCAAGGAGCGAGAAAAGGAGAAGGAGAGGAGCATGCGAGGGGCCAATCCCCCAGTCGCACAACCAGCCACGGATTAAGAAGAGAATAAAGGCATATCAAATAAAGAAAGGTAAAAATTTCAGAGGCAAAATGCAGAAGAAGAGAAATGGGTTAGTTTAAATTAGAAAAGCTGACTTGAAACAAGCCAAGCTAAGGCCAGGCATTCATAAGTAAGAATAGGTCTCCATGTATTTATTTGGGAGCTAGGTGAGGGCCCCCAGAGTGTAAAAACAAGCAAACAAACAAACAAACTACAATCCATCTCATTTCTTGAGAAAAGGTCTTTCAATGAATTTAGAACTTGCCATTTTGTCTAGAATGGCTGGTGAGCCCCTGGGAGCCATCCGTCTTTGCTCCTTTCCTGCTGGCACTGAGGTTACAGATGCAGGTGCTGCCACACCTGGTTTTTCCATAAATTCTGAGTCCGGGTCCTCCTGCTTGTACAGAAAGAAATGTTACCCATTTAGCCATCTCCCCAGCTCCAGCTCTGACATTTTAGGATCCTCTTTCTTGCATTGTCTTTCCCCTGACACTTTCATCACTGTCTTATGTGTTTCCTTCCTAATCTCTTTCATTGCCCGTATTCCCCCATTGCAGTTTGAACTTCATAAAGAAGAGTTTTTATCTTTATCTATCTATTTATTTATTCTGTGCAACTCTTTTTTCTTTTTTGGAAATGAATTTGAGGGTCAAACTCAATTCCTTGTGATGACATGATCAGAAATGTGCTAACTGCCCACCCCTTGTTTTGCCTCTTTATACTGAGTATACTCCTTATAATATATACTCTTTATACACACTTTCTCTGTGTGTGAATGCATAGCTGTTGTTAAGCAATGATTTTAACTGGTGAATTAATTGTGTTAAAAGCTTCCACCAGATTTGTCGAGCAAGCGCCTCTGTTTCCTGGGTCATTTTAGTCATGCCAAGACCTCACTGTTTCCAATTAAAAGAAGAAGGTCTACACGCCTTTAATCCCAGCACTCGGGAGACAGAGATAGGCAGATCTCTGTTAGTTCAAGTCCAGCCTGGTCTACATAGTGAGTTCCAGGACAGCCAGGACTGTTACACAGAGAAATCCTGCCCCCCCCCCCAAAAAAAAAGAAAGAAAAGAAAGAAAAAACAAGAAAAAAAGAAAAACCAAAAGATCTAGATGTGGAACACTAAAAGGATACCATACCACACAACTTGCAACTTGCTTTGTATGAAAGTGAACGTAGGATGTGAAAATAGTAAACAATATAGACCAGTTTTCATTTGACTGATCTCTCAAACCTTGCAGTATGAACAACCACATAATAGCATTCTTTGCTCCAGTGACATTCTATAGTACAACAGAATGATCAGGCCAGGGAAAAACCTGTAATTTTCCAAACTGGGTGTATAGAAGAGGGAGTTCATGTATTCCCAATCACAGTCAAAGCCAAGAAGCTATCAAACTTAACCCCAACCAGTAGTCTTCTTGTACTAGGTCAACTCTCATTGATCTAAGCCCTGACCTACATATATCCTCCAACCCGAACTAAAAACTACAAAGAAAAATCCCCTTACTATGGGGCCTTGAACTCAGACATACGATTCAAACTAGCCTCCAAAGCCTCTTTCGTAGGCTCACAGTATGTTGTGTAGAAGTGGCATAACTTTATATTTACATAGTTCCTTTACCCCACCAGTGGGGTAAACAAACCGTATATTCTCTGGAGTTCTGGACTGTATTTCTTAGCATAGGATTCAGGGACTCCCCCACATTAAAATCATCTAGAAGTGAGTGTTGAAATGTACATTTGGGGGACATATCAAGACTTGACAGTAGCTGGGGGTGTAACTCCGGGGTAGAGCATAGGTTTAGCATGTGAAAAGCACTGAGTTCAATACCCAGTATCAGAACAAAATAAAATAGATCTGGAGGCTAAGAATATCAGACGAAGGGCCTCCAAAAGGTTTGACAGACTCTCTGATTTTTATGATAGATAATTTAGGGCCAGAGTGGAGAATAAAACCTGACAACTGATCTAGCACATCTTCAGATGAAAACACATGGAGCTCTTAAATAATCCCATCAATTGTCTTAGAGGAATCTACAGATTTCTTCTGGTTCCTTCTTATGCCTCATCTCTACCCTTAGCCATATTGTTTAGTGTCTCCCTAAAATAGTTACCAAGGGAGTCAATCATAAGAGAGTGTGAGTTACCCAGGAAGAGCAAATCATATCCCCTTCTGGTAGAGTTCTGGAAGGAAAGGGGAGGAAAGGGGATGGGACTCCTTTTTCTAGTTCTCTTTCCCCAGCTCCTCCATCTGAACTCAGACCAGCTCACACTAACTGTACCCATGTGCACAGTGTTGAGGTAGATGGAGGTGTTTTCCTCACATCTGTGGGTAAGGAGATTGAACATGGACATCCTTCCTGGGGAAGAAAGCTAGTTAGGGCTTTGGGAAAAGCAAAGGGATCCCTCAGTACTGGTTTGTTGTGACTGGACTGAACACTCTTGCTATTAGCTAGGTTAATGGGGGTGCTTTGAAAAAATAAAACACATTTCAGTCCCATTTCCCCTCCTATCAAGTATCTAGACACAGGAGGAAGCAGCTCGATCAATAATGAATCCTTAGGTCATCATTTCAACAACTACATCATTTTCTCTGTGTGTTATTAGACTTCCATGTCTTTCTTTGTAGTTAATAAGATACTGGTGAAGGGATATGAACAACCAGCCTGCCTCCATCATAGGTTTAAAAGCCATCTTATAGTAAAGACAAACTAGGTTCATTCCTGCTTATGATTAATTATGTTTCTCAAGTGTTGGATTATGCCACACCTGTAACCCTAATGACAAATGATTCTGTACTGCCTGTTCCAATAATGGTAATTATGTCCTCATTTCAAAAAAT